AGGGTTTAGGCTTTAAGGTTTTTTTGGTACTGTAGACATTGGGGGAATATTAGGGTTATAGGGGGGTTATAGGGGGGTTATATTGGGGTTAAATTAGGATTATACTAGAGTTATTTTTCAGCTATCTTGCAATTCGGCTGCGCAAATCTGCACTTTGTACCATCGTGCTTTCTCTAGTCCCCTTGGACTATAGACGTTCACCCCCCGAAGCCCTCAATTTCGACGTGCATCCGTGGAAGCCTCCGTTCATAATGGTGCAAGCCGTAGGCCCTAAATCCAAAATCCTAAACCTTAAGCCCCAAATCCTAAACCTAAATCCCAAACCACACCATGAACCCTCAAGCTTAAAAATTAATTCCTACACCCTAAACCTTGAATGCCAAACCCTGAATTCAAAGGGGAGAAGCCCCAGGAGCTTCTCTAAGATTCTTCCATTCCACCTGCTTGGGGCAACAGCCCCAGACCCCTGACACTAAATCCTAAAGTCTAAGTAAGCCCAAGGCTTACATGCACAGCAATCTGAACCCTAAAGTCTAAGCCGAACCCTCGAAAGCTTAAACGTATGTATCAAAATCCTTACATCGCCCCCGGCTGAGCCCACCTCCCAGGTTTTTTTTAGGGTTTGGGGTTTAGGGTTTAGGGTTTGGGGTTTGGGGTTTAGGGTTTAGGGTTTAGGAAGATTCCCCCATTACCTGATCACTTAGGCCCCCTGGCCCTAAACCCTCAAGCCCTAAGCCCCAGATCCTAAATTCCATGCTATCTGTTCAGGCCCCTACAGTATCCCCCTAAACCTTAAACCTAATCCCAAACCCCTAAGGTAGTTTCTCAAGCCATTCCCTTATGTAAAGTGTAAAAGTAGGCTCACAATCTCCTTAGACTCCGTATGTATGCCTCGGGTTCCTCATTGCAAAGCACGTTCCCAGACCACCTAAAGAATCCAAAAATGGAACCCCGCAAAAAATGGCTCCATTACTACATTGAGGAACCTAGGGAATTATTAAGTGGTTCCCCCTAAACCCTAAATCCTAAACCCTAAACCCTAGATCCTAAACCCTAAACTGGGGGGTTCCATTTTTTGGATCCTTTAGGGGGTCTGGGTTAGGTGTGCATCTTTTTCTTTGACGACCTCTTGGAAGATCGTCTTCAGAGCGAAGTTTGGCGGCAAGCCTATCTTACAAAGGCTAAAAATATGGGCCCCTAGTATGGGCCCTTAGGCCTTTTAGGGGGGTTCTAGGGACCCTTAAGGGTACATATAAGGTATATAACAGGTATGTAGGCATCCCAGGGTTAAGGGCCCATACTAGGGGCCCATTGTTTGAACATTAGACTCTTATCCCTTGAATTCCCTGGGTTGTGGGTTTGGAGTTCCTCTACAGCGCCGGGCTAGGTTCCCCATCTGCGTGACTTAAGGATACTGATGGCCAATTACGGCTGATTAGGGGCGGGGGTAGACTGGAACCGATGAGGCTTAGGGTGCTATAGGGAGAATTAGCATCAGGTTTTGGTTTTGAGTTCTAGGGGCTTAGAGCTAAACCCTAAACCCTAAACCCCTCCTAGGGCCTTACGGACTAGCGTAGAGGCTCTAGCGTAGCTGAGAGGACCCTGTCCTTCGAAGACTCAACAGCTGGGGATCCTAAGTTTCACTGTTTAGGGTTGAGGGTTTAGGGTTGAGGGTTGAGGGTTTTGGGTTTTGGGTTTGGGGTTTTGGGTTTGGGGTTTAGGGTTTAGGGTTTAGGGTTGAGGGCTTAGGGTTTAGGGGGAGGCCAATTTCAGGAGGGGAGTTACCATGGGGGAAGTTTACGGTATATAGGGATCTTAGGGGGCTCTCTGTAAGGGGTATGTAAGGCTTATGTAAGGAATCCCCACTTTCTTAAGCTTCTTCCCGGACTTGCCCTTGAACCCTACTTCAAACTCCTAAACCCTGAATCCTAAGCCTTAAACCCTAAATCCTAAACCCTCAAGCCCAGGTAAATGCAAATTGTGTAGGGCAAAAGTTAAAACGGAAACTCCGTCAAAAGTCGCTCAAAACTCCTGACCTGAACCATATACAATTTGTACGGAAACTCCGTCAAAAGTCGGCCAGAAGTCGCTCAAAACTTCCGACCTGAACCCTATACAATTTGTATGAATCCTAAACCCTAAACCCTAAAACCTTAATGTTAAAAGCATCTCGTAGCACCGAACGAATCGCCAGACACCACCAGACACAGAATCCCTGAAATCTGACGGGTGTAGGACTTTAGGGCTTAGGGTGTAGGGCCCAGGATTTGGGGTTCTGGGTTCAGGGCTGAGGACTTAGGGTTGAGGGCTTAGGGCTGATGGTTTAGGGTTTAGTGTTTAGAGATTCGTGTTTAGGGTTCTGAGCTGAGGGTTTAGTGTTTAGGGATTCGTGTTTAGGGTTCAGGGCTGAGGGTTTAGGGTTTAGGGCTCTTAACATGGAGCCTGGAAAAGTGTCGCTTATAGATTACTGTGCTGTAAATGGCAAGCTATATGGGGCACCCTGTAAATGGTGGTTTCCCTAAATAACGGGGCCCCAATATAGATCCCAAAAAGGCATTATTATGGGGCCCCCAAAGAGGTACCCCTCATTTTGGGAAACCCCCAAATCCCAGGTCCATATCTGAAGCCCTGAACTTACACCTAAACCCCAGAAACCATAGTCCCAACCTCTGAAAGCTGGGCCCTACAGACTTAAGCCTAAGCCTGAAGCTCTAAACCTCCTATCCCCTTATGAGTTTTGTCATTGTCATACAACCCAATGAACCCTAAACCCGAAACCCTAAACCCCCATGAACTTTTAAGCACAATGTTGTTTAGGGTTCATGATATTATAGGCATAAGGGGCAGGGGATCACAGAATCCTCCACGTCGAAGCGGGTTTAGGGTTTAGGGTTTAGGGTTAGTCCCCCGTAAGTAGATGGAATATGGCTTCGGGTACATAAGAATAAGATCCCCATAAGCCCCATGCTCTATCTACTTAAGGGGAATTATACCCTAAACCCTAGAGTCTAAACCCTAAACCCTAGATTCTATCTACTTAAGTGGGACTATAACCCCAAACCCTAAACCCTATGTTCTATCTACTTAAGAGGGACTATAACCCTAAACCCTATACCCTATCTACTTAAGGACTACAACCCTAAACCCTAAACCCTATATTCTATCTACTCAACGGAGACTATAACCCTAAACCCTAAACCCTGTCTACTTAAGAGGGCCTGTAAACCTGTACCCTGAACCTAACTAGTAGTTTCCATGTTCTTTTCCATTATCCCTTTATAGCCCCGATCTAACCCTTATATACCCTAGATTCCATCTACTTAAGTGGGCCTATAACCCTAAAACCTATACCCTAAACCCTAAACCCTAAACCCTATACCCTAAACCCTAAACCCTAAACCCTAAACCCTACCCTATACCCTATCTACTTAAGGGGGCCTATAAACCTGTAACCTACATAACCCCTATATAGCCCTTATAGGACCCTATATAACCCTTATAGAACCCTAAACCTTAGATTCTGCTTACTTAAGGGGGCCTATAAACCATAAATCCCAAACCAAGCCCTGAACCCTAAACCCTGAACCCTAAACCCTATATAACCCCATTATCATAATAGTTTCCCTTTTCTTTTCCATTATCCCAATATAAACCCAATATAACCCCAATATCACCAAAGAGCAAGTCGAGCCTGTAGTGTAGGTCCGCCGGGTCCAGCGTTTCCTGGACTTGGGGGAGGACCGGGGCAAAAGGGCTTAGGGGTTTAAGGGTTTAAGGGTAAGGGTTTAGGGTTTGAGGGGTTTAAGGGCTAGGGTTTAGGGGTTTTAGGGGTTTAGGGTTGGAGGGTTTAAGGGTTGAAGGGGTTAGGGTTTAGGGTTTAAGGGTTCGGTTAGGGTTTAGGGCTTAGGGTTTAGGGTTTAAGGGTTAGGGTCCAGGGTGCAGGGTTGAGGGTCTAGGGTTCAAGGGTTAGGGTTCAGGGTTTAGGGCTAAGGTTTCGGGGTTGAGGGTCTAGGGTTTTGGGCCTTTCTGTTGATGCCAAAATTCTGCCTGACCTTGTTTTAGGAGAATCCTGCATAACCCCAAAACCTCAAACCCCAAGCCTTGACGTCTATCCGCATCCTATACCTCGACCCCTAAACCCTTAACCCTACACCCTAAACCCTTAAACCCTAAATAACCCCAAATCTCAAACTCTAAACCCTAAATAACCCCAAATCTCAAACTCTAAGCCCTAAAGAACCCCAAGCCTTAAACCCTTAACTCCAGACCTGTGACTTTCTCAAAGGTCCTAGCTGTGGTCAACTAACATGGGCCCCTACCTGTTTCCTAGGTCCTAACTATGGGCATAGAATTTCGTTTCTAGGGTTTGATATGGTACATAATAGGTATATAAGATACCAAGTTTAAGGGCCCATACTAGGGGCCATTGCTCTAACCTACGAGGTTTACGATACACCTTGAATCGAAAATCCAAGCCCTAAACCCTAAAAACCCTAAACCCTAAAACCTTAAGCAGAAGGATGCCAGCCTAACCTCAACTGTTGCGGCTCAAAGCAGCCACGAGTTCATGTCCAGGCGCCGGCTGATTGAAGGTTAGGATGTGGGGTGTAGAACTTCGGGTTTAGGGCTTACTGGTTCTTAGATCAAGAACCAGTGCGCTAACCTTGAAAAGTAGGGAATGCGGAATATTTTCATAATAGTTTAGGGTTTATTACCATGACTTGGGGTTTGGGGGGCGGATGTTTGAGTTAGAGATTTTGAGTTTGGGAGTTGAGGAAACTTGGGCACCCTAAGCAATGGTAAGTTTACATGGGCTAGAGGGTTTGGGGTTTAGGGCTTAGGGTTAGTAGGGAATGAGGAAATATGATCCCCATATAGCCCCTACATAGAATATTTCCTCCTTATTTATTTATTCCCTACTAGAAGCCAGTAAGTCAATTCAGGAAATTGCTGGAAGTAATTAGGGTTCAGAGTTGAGCCGCCCGCCCCCACCCCTAATGCTAAATATTCCCGGTAAGAAGCCTTAAATACTGGGCGACATATTCAACTTTTGGGGCGGGGGTGGGAGTGCTTAATATTAGTATGAAGGGACTCATTATCGTTGACCTATAATTCTGATATGCTCCTGCTGAAGCCGTAAGCTTCATCTTAATAGGCCCCTAAGTCTATCCCAGCGATGGGCACTTGTAAGTTTGGCTTTGCGGGGAAGATGAGGGTTATGTAGGGATATGTAAGGTGTAGGGTTTAGGGTTTAGGGGTAGTTGTAAGTGGGGTTATGAGGATTGAGGGTTAAGGGTGCAGGGTGTAAGCTTAAGGGTTCAGACTTTTGGATATAGGCCATAGTCTAAACTCCTTCCTTAACGGGCTTATACAGGAGATTATGTAGTATTATAGGGGTTATTCACTGGGATACTAGGAGTTTATACTATAACTCATATAGATTCAGACTTTTGGGTGCAGGGTCTCAGGTTCGAGGCTTGGGCTTCCCAAAAAAAGAGGAAATCCTCGGGCTCCCCAGGGATATATGTGGATCATAAGGAGATTGCAGGGGCCCCCCCAGGTGCAAACCTCCCAAGTCGGCTTGTAGAGTCGATGTAGGAATTAGGTAGGGGTATACTGGGTTGCTGTTAAGGAATTTAAATTAAGTTACTATATTGGGGAAACCCTATTATTTACTATATATATGCCCATTATGGTAACTTACTTTAAGTTCCTTAACAGCAACCCAGTATATGCAGGGCATCGGGGTATGGCGGGCGTAGAGTGTAAGATTCAGGGGTGGTTGCAGTTCGGGGCTTCCGCTGGGCATCTCGCTCTGCCCCACCCACTAACAGGGTGTAGGGTGTAGGGTTTAGGGTAGTTGCATTATACACCTTCTGTAGTTGGTATCCAGGACGGTTCGTGGGCTTTGCATGTGGGGTGGCCACCAGTGTGAATGTGATTAGTATCTGTAGCCACTTCTAGCCTAGTGTGATCAGGTTGCATCGCAGGTGCATTTCAGGCACTGGGAAAAGATTTCCACTGATCCTGAACCCTAAAGCGCATTAAAGAGATACCGGAACTGGGAAAAGATGTCTCCTTATTTTGAGCCCTAAAATGTGTGACTAGTACTGGGGACTATGAATATCTTGGATGGGCGCGGTGATCGGGTTGCTTTATTGATCGAGATCAGAGGGTTGCGTATAAGCGTAAACCTTCAATCGGTTTCGCTTTTACAGGCACAGTTTTACCTACCTCACCCCAACTGGTTTCCTTAAGCAGGGTATGTACGGGATTATATAGGGGACGATGATAAGGGGCTATTAAGGGAGATACTAGGAGTTTAGACTCTACCTCATATCACCAATATCTCCAAAACAGCCCTATCTCATAGGTTTGGGGTTGATTAGCGAAATTTGAAGCCCTAAACCCTAAGCCGTGTTCAGGCTTGTAGGTACGGTTAGCTGCTAGAAAAGCCCTAAACTTAAATCCCTAACTAAGGCTCCATCACTTGAGGCCTAGGCGCGCTTCTTACATGAGCTACTGTGAATACTAGCCTTATTCAGGGGCCCTTAACAGTGGACATAGGGTCCCCTTTGTAGTTTGGTATAGTCGCAATATAGTCCCTAATAAGGAACCCATGTCCATTAAATTATGTAGCAAATATTGACTGTAGCTTACATCCCTAGCCCCACGGCACCAAAAGAGCCCTAGTCTAAACTCCGAGTTTCCTATCCCCCTTAATCGCCCCTCTCATTTTTTTCTACAGAACCCCTTTTTAAGGAGTTTCGACTTTTGCTCAGAGTTTAAAGGTGCGAGCTCACACCCTGAAGAGTTTCAAGCCTTGAACCCTGAAACTTCATTCTACACCTTGACAACACCTTTGCCCTGAACCTTATAAATCACCCTAGTTTTGCCCTGAACCCTAAACCCTAAAACCCTATATCCCCAAACCCCTGAACCTGAGAACTCCCTGAAGCAGGTTCCATGTTTGACCCAAAACATGGCACCCTCCCATCTGTTTAGGGTTTAGGGTTAGGCTTCATATTTGGTTCTTTTAGGGGGCTGGGTAACCCTGACTCTATACCCTCTAACATATACCCAGAAACCTCGAGAACCCTATTGAAGCCCCACCCAGACCCTTCCAAGTATTTGGGCCCTTACACCTCAAATCCTAAACCTTAACTATATTCGCATATCCCTACATACCCTCCCCTTTAGAGGGACTGCGAAGAGTCCTACACCCTTTAGCCCGAAACTCCTCAACCCTAAGCCCACTAACCTTCAACCCTTAACCCCAAACACTAAACCCTTGACCCTATACCCCTTAACCCCAACCCTTAACCCTACATCCTGAACCCTGGGAACCTTTTGTATAACCCTAACTGATACCTGATCACCGTATATAACCCCTAGAAAACCCTATCTAACCCTAAATGCTCCCTACGTAACCCTATATTATTCGATATAACCCCTAGCATCGCCCTATATATCCCTACGTAATCTTCATATAATTCCTATATTTTGAAGCCCCTACAGCCAGGCCGGAGAATCATTCCAAGTTTGACGACCACAAAATCGCCCGTCGCCTGCATTTAGCTTTTTCTGCGGGTTTCCCGGAATTAGGTGTGCTTTTCTGGTGTCCCAGGATTTGGGATCTGGGGTTTGCGGTTTTACTTTGTAGGATTGAGGGTTTGGATTTGGGGCTTAAGTGTCAGGTACCATGGGCCGTAAAACCTGAACTGATTCATCCTTGCAACCGTGGGACAGCATCAGTCCCTTTGCCGATCCAAACCCTGCCTACACCCTGTAGCACGCAACACGCCATCCAAGTTACCTAAAACCTACCAGAACCCGGGTGAGACCCTACTTAAAGCTAGAAGCTCTTAGAGCCCCTCAGCTCCCTCCCTTAACCCTCGAAAACCCCAAGCTCTAAACCCTAAACCCCAAGAACCCTCAAGCCCTTTTAATCCCTGCAGCAGCGGAGAGCACAAGGTGCAAGAGATCGATCGAATCAGAGGCTGGTAGAGTTAGGGTTTAGGGTTCAAGTTTCAGGGAGTTCATGCCCAGACCCCCTAAAGGAACCCCCCAGAAAGGATTCCTTGAAAGGGTTTAACATCTTTAAAATAGGGTTGGTGGAAAGGCAAACGAAAACTAGTACACTATTTAGGGTATTGGGTATAGAGCTCACCGAATGGATCCAACAAATGGAACTTCCAAATAGTCACATAGTTTCACCAATGTAGGAGTGCAATCATTTTGGGACGGTTCCATGCTTTGGATGCTTTCGGGTGTCTGTAGTCTCGTTGATAGAATTACTACATAAAGGGCTAAGCATGAAGGGTTACTGTAGCCCCCAAGAATGAGCAGGATTGTACTCCTTCTTTTGGTTATGGTATCTTATGATTTGACATTTTATTTAGTTCAATGAAAGAAGAGCACCCCTTACCCGAAGTAGGGTTTTGTTTTCGGTTCTGGCAAGTGTTTTTTTTTGCTGAGTCTTATGGTCCTACCACATGTAGGGTTCGACTGTGTAGGGTTTGAGGCTTGCGGTTTTGGGTGTAGGGTTTACGGCTTGTGGCTCAGAGTACAGTGTCGAACCTTGAACCCCAAACCCTAAAAGCCCAAAACCCTGAACCCTGAAACCACGAAATGTAGGCTTTGGGGTTCAGCGTTTTGAGGCTCGCGGTGGGCATTCTGAACATCGGGTGCCAGCTCCTACCAGCTATAGCCTATAGCCAAACCCTAAAGTCCTAAAATAGCAAGCCTGGGAGCTAAGCTCATACACTCTACTTACCAAGTATATAGGGGTATAATATAAGGTTATATAGGGATAATGGAAGAGATAATGGAAAGGAAATGGAAACTACTATTTGGGGTTGAGTGTTATTCAGGGTCAGTAGAGAATAAGGGAATATGATCCCTGAATACTCCCTGCATGAAGAATTCCCTTATTCCTTACTAACCCCCAGTAAGTCTAAGGGTTTTCGAAAGGCAGGGACCCTTACAATTTGGGGTTAGCAGGTTAAAGGGCTTGCGGGTTTGGGGTTTACGGGTTAGGGCTTTCGGGGATTTATGGTTGCCCAGAACATGCAAGGTCCTGGAACGTTAATCCTTCTTGGCTCCATGCTGGTGGTAGGGTCGAGTGCAGGATTAGGTATTAATCCGCGGTTTGGTGATGGTTTTTAGAAAATTCTTTGTTTGATTGTATTATTGATTGTATTAAGAATTTCAGTAGAAACTGATTCTCGCAGTTTTATGTTTCACAGGTATCTCAAAGGAACTCGTCCTGAGGTATCCGCGAAAGTCAGGGTAGTGGGGCCTTGCGCGTGCGTTTCAACAGTGAAGCCTTGGTTGGTTTAAGATTCATGTGCCGGTCTGAAAGTTCCTTGTCTACAGTCCGAAGAGCCAGCTGAAATAGTAATATCTACTAGGGTTTCCTGGAGCTTAGGGTAGTGTCAGGGACCCTTTATAACCTCAACCTTAAGCCCGAAAACCCTAAAACTCTAAAACCCCAAAACCCTACACCCGAGAGCTGCAAGTTCACTCGCGCAGCCATGTCCGCAAACTAACTCGCATGCCCGTCAAGGGTTCGTAGCCATTCGGGTGACCAGCCACTTTTGGGAGTGCCCAAGCCCTACACCCATAAATCCTCAAAACTCTAAATTAACCCCCGTAAGCCCTGAACCCTAAACCCTCAACCCTAATAATGGCCCCCAAACCCTAATAGTAACCCCCTATAACCCTAAGCCCTGAACCCGAATCCCTTAACCTAAACCTTGAACCCTAAACCTTGATTCCTAAACCCTAAACCCCAGTAGTAACCCTCCCTAAACCCTAAACCCGTAACCCTCCCTTTACCTAAGAACCTGGCCAGGAATCCGTCGAACGCGGCCCCTCACGGGCAAAGTCCGAAAGGGAGGCGGCAGCGCTGGTCAAGGTCAGGAGCATCCCAGAACCCTTAGGGTTTAGCGGTTGAGGATTCAGGGTTCGGGGGTTTAGGGTTTAGGGTTTGGGGTTTGGGGGTTTTAGGGTTTGGGGGTTTTAGAGGTTATATAGGGAACAATTAATGGAAAAGAAAATGGAAACTAGGGTTAAGGTTAGGGTTTAGGGCTTACAGTCTTTAGTGCTTAGGGCTTGGAGTTCAGGGTTGGGAGTGTAGGGCTAAGAGTTTGACGTTTAGAGTTTAGGGCTTGAAGTTTAGGGTTTCGGGCTTAGAGTTTAAGGTTCAGGGTTGAGAGCTCAGAGTTTAGGAGAGCCTGAGGCTTTGGAAGGCTCGAAGGCTCAGAGAGAAAGCCCCAGTTCCACCAAGGCTACAACTTGAAGTCTTTGGCGCTGCCTACGGAGTGTTATCCGGACACCTGCAAGAGCAACAGAGGCAAGCACAGCTACACCATTGATGGTGCCAGGGGGAAATCCTGCTAAGGGCCAGGGCTTTATTCGTCAAAGCCTCGGCCGGGGAGCTCGACCTCAAGAGCCACGTCTCGTGGGGAAGCGACGTCAGGGGTTTAGGGCTTCGAGTTTAAGTTTTAGGGTTTAGGGCTTACAGTTGAAGGTTCAGGGTAAGAAACTTAAAGTGTAAGGTTTAGGGCTTAGAGTTTGAGGTTTAGGGCTTAGGATTCAGGACTTGGGGTTCGAAGTTTAGGGTTCAAGGCGTAGGGCTTTGTGGTTAGGATTAAGGTTCTAGGGCGGGTTTGAAGGCGCAGGCTTCAGGCTTTAAGATTTAGGGAGCCCCGGAGAGGATCCCAAAATGGAAGCTCCCAATACGACTTGGGGTGGGAGCCACTTTGTTGTTGGTTTGGGTTTTGAGGGGTGGCAGGGCGGAAGGCTAGGTTGGAAAAATGGTCAAGCTTTAACTAGGTTATAACCTAAATCCCGCTATAGAGTTATTGCTATAGATAACACTAGTGTACTGCAATATGCCTATCCACGTTGGGGGTTTAGAAGTTGTGCGTTCTAAGTTTCCAGATTGACAGGAGTTACTTCTAGGTTCAGCGGAATTATGGCCCAATGAGGGCTGTACTTGTAATGCAGCTATAAGTCTTCTAAGTCCCCTAACATAGTTACAATTAGGTTATAAACCCGATATAACATATTTCGGTTACAACTAACCGAAACCTCCAAATAGACCAGCGCTGGGTACGTCGACGCTGGTCCCATGCGCTTGCTGAGCTAGACCCCTCAGAGGATCAGAGACCCCATTACTACCTTGGGGGAAACTAGACATCATTCTGAGGTTCCATGCTTTTAATCCTTTAGGGGTCCGGCGAGACCCGAACGAGTCAAATGTCCAAATTGTTGCCATCATGGGGTTTCAGGTTTATAGTCCCCCTTAAGTA